CTGGGGGAACCAGGGAGGGCTGGGATGGGCTGGGCTGCCCGGAGCGCTGGGAATGTCCCCACGGAGCCGGGCCGGGTGTCCCTTGCCCTGGGAGAGGCTCAAACCTTCACCAGAAGGGCAGAAATGAGGCACCGAAGTGAAGGTCATGAAAGGCGTCACCATTGATGGGAGACAATGGGAGTGGCAATAAATTCGGGGGACATCAGTCCCAAAGCTCTTTGGGGTTTGCTACAGCGACATTTCCCCACGATGAGTTTTGCCATGGGTCCCATATTGCCCCGTTGCCCTGCACTCCGATGGTGAATAAGAAACAAACCCTGGAGAAGGGATCTGATGCCCCAAATGCCCAGATATGCCCCAGCCACACTCCCCAGCACCTCCCCAGCCTGCACCCACCCTGTGCCAGGCTGCACATCCCTGTCCACGGGAGGAGGGATGGACAGCGACCCTCTGGGGCTGCTGAGAGTCCCCAGGAGATGGCACAGGTGGGGACCCCCGTGGCACTCACCTGCAGACGTTCCTGCCCTCAGGGTCGAGCTCCTGGGCAGAGCTCTGCACCCACAGCCACAGCTGCAGGCAGAGGATGGGCCGGGCGCTCTCCATCCCAGCAGGGCACAGGGCCCCCGTCCTGGTGGCTCCCCAGCCCCACGCTGGTGTCCCTCTGTCCCGTCTGTCCCGTCCCACCCGCGGGGCGGCCTCTTCCTCCCTCCAGCCTTGGGTTTCTTCCTGAGGAAACGCGGGAGGAGGCGCCCGATCCAGGCGCAGGGGTGCGGCGGGGAGGGGGAGCAGGGAATGCTGCCCGGGCTATTTCTGGCCCTGGCTGCCACCCTGCCATGGAAAGGGACATCCAGGGGCTCAACACAGCCACACGGGGCTGGCACCTGCCTGAACATCTCACCTGTGCCACCCCACTCCCCTTGTGACATCCTCTATCGTCCCCAAAACTGCTTTAGCCAAGGTCCCCCCAACCCAAACAAACATCCAGCGCCACCCCCTGCCTCAAGCCCCATGAGCCACCCCATGGCACTGCCAAACCCTTGCAGGGGCTTAGAGGAAGGGTCCCCTTGTCCCCCATGGCAACACAGCCTGACCTGTGCTGGCCTTTGAAGGGCTGCTGGCCACTGTCCCACCTCGCCACGTCCCCAGGAGCTTTGTGTCAGCAGATGCACAGGAAACACCTTTTTCCTACCCAAGGCCAGCTCAGCCGGGGGGGCTCCGGGCTGGAAGCACCCCTTGGCCATGCAGGAATTAACTCCTCCATGCCCAGCACTGTGGGATCACCCCCTGGAGCCCCCTCCCCACCAGAAGGGGCTCAGGGGGCACAGCCATCAGGAGAAGGGTAAGGGAAATCTGGGAACATCACCCAGCCCTCCCCAAGCAGAGAGCAGAGGCTGCAGGCAGAACCTCAGAGGAAAAACAAGAGACTGATTTATTTCCAAATTAAAGGTAGAAAGTACCTGATCTGAGGGGACTGATGCCCCCATGAACACAAGGATTGTTCCAGTCTGCCAGGTCCCAGAGGTGCCAGGGAGAGGTGCCAGCACAAAACTGATTCACCCCAAGCCTGAGAAGTGCAGGAGTGGCCCTGGTGGTGCTGATCCTGGTGGCTCCCAGCCACAGGAGCACCTGGACACCCAGTGCAGTGTGCTCAGCCCCCCCCAGCCTTGTGGGGACCCCAGGGCACCCCAACTGCACCTTCACATTGCAGGGATTGGGGAGCTACTAAAGAAAGGGGTGAGGTAAAACAAACCCACAGAGCAGGATGGGGCAGCTGTGGGCTGTGAGCAGAGGGGTCTGCAGAGAGCCACCAGGGGATGGGAGATCCCTTTTGGGGTGTGGAGAAGGAAGAGGGTGCAGCCCCCCACCATGCTGAGCCGCAAGCAGGGAGCAGTGGGGAGGGGGCCCAGCTGTGAGGCCCCTCTGTAGCTAAGATGTGGGCACAGTGAAAGGGTGGCTGGTGGGCAGAGGTGCCCAGAGGTGCTGAGCTGCCCCAGGCCAGGCTGGCAGCCCACATCCAAGTGTCCCAGTGGGTTTGCAGGAACCTGCCCACCACCCTGGTGGCTTTGCCACCACCGTGGCACAGGGAAGTGCCAGGGCTGCTGTGCTGCTCTGGAATCCACTGGAAGAAGAGGATCCAGGAAGTTCTGCTGCAAGGACAGATCCTGCTCCCGTTGCCGTGGGGTCAGAGTGCTGCTGTGCCTCTGTCAGGGCAGCTGGACCCTGCCTTGCTCTCTCCCTCTGGCTCCAGCTGTGAGTCCAGTGAGTCAATGATTTCCCAGGTTCCAGAGCAGCTGGATGTTGGGGGGTCTTTGCTGCTGCCCTGATACCACAGCCCAAAACTGCAGAGAGAGCAGAGAAGGGCTATGGGGGAGAAGAACCTCCCCAAGGAGGATGCAGAATCCCAACCTCCCTCTGTGGAGGTGGCAGCAGGACACAGCCTGGCTGTGGGTCCTGTGTATCCAGGACGAGGCAGATCCCCCTAAAACAGCACCCCCTGCTCTGGCAGCACCCCTGCCAGCCCTGCTGACTCTGCTCCCATCACATCCAAGCTCCACAGCTGCCAGGTCCCAGCCAAACCCCAAACCTCTCTCCACTGGCAGAGCCTCCCATCCCTACCAGCACAGGAGCAAACTTACAAGCTCCTAATTTTGGATTCTGGAGGCTGAGCATCCACACAGTCTGTGCCATGACCTGGAAGCCAGGAGCCCTCCTCTTCATCACTGCACAAAGAAATGGGGGCAAACCTGCACTGAGCCACAGCAGTGAGTGCTGGAGCCACTCTGGTGCTTGTCCATGTTCCCAGTGCCACCACCTCACTTCCCTTTTGTCACATGCACGCAGGGACAAGTGGCATTTGGCCAGGCCATGCCTGACTGGTGACAGGGACACACGAGCTGCAACACAAAGCCCAGCCCCTGTGGCACAGCTATGCCAAAGCAACACATCAACTGCAGACATCAAACCTTTGATCTCTGGAGGGAGGAGGCAGCTCTGGGCTTGGGGAGGCTCCAATCCAGGGCATCAAGCACATGGAAATGCTGGAGCAGGGCAGCCAGCCCCCACCCTGCACGGGAGGATCCCAGCACCCAGCCGGACTCACCTGCTCCCCGACTCCTCCGTCGTTCCCAGCATTTTGGCTCTGATTTTTTTCCTCTGTTTTTTGATATTTGACTTCATTGCATCCAGGAAGAAGCTGGGAATTCTTTCCTCGTTCAGCAGCTCCCTGGTAAAAAGCAGCCAGCTGGTTAACCAAGAACATGGGGAAGATTCTGCCCTGACTGTGGTGGGAGCAGCCTCTGCTGGGCCAAGGGTGGCTGCAGGGACAGGACTCACCTCTGGTAATAGGCCAGCTCCTCCTGCACCAAGAACAGGTTGGTCTTGAGCTCATTCCTCTCTTGAAGGATCTGCTGCAGCTCTTCCTTGGAGAAGCAGCAGTGAGCAGGGCTCCTGTCCCCATCCTGGTGCTGTGGCTCCTCTGAAGGTGACAGGGCTCCCTCCTGGAGGGGATGCAAAGAGAGTCAGCAGGCAAGCAGAGACCTCAAAACCCCCACCCAAAGGCTGGGTGCACATGCAGGCAAAAATGGAAGTCTCAAGAATGTCCCCATCTCAGCCAGCAACCACATGTGGCAAACCTCCCTCATCCTGTGTTCCATCTACTTTTAACTCCTGTCACCTCATCTTGCTCCACCCAAAACACTTCTACAGAGAAGGTGTTAGTGGCATTGCAGACACCACCACACTGTTCACTTTTCAGCTGTGGGGTTTCCTGAAATAACCACATCTGGGTGTGCCAAGAGCTCCACACAAGGCTGGGAAGGTGGGGTCAGTGTTGGCGATGGCCAGCAGCAGCGAGGCCACATCTCAGACTCACCACATCAGGCTCTGGTGTGGGGTCACAGCTCAGACTCACCTCACCAGGCTCAGACTCACCTCACCAGGCTCTGGCTGCCGGCTCTCCAGGGCTGTCCTGCTCCTCCTGCTCGTTTCCCTCTGGCTCTGCAGCATGGCAGCCTCCAGGTCTGACTTCTGCTCCAGAGCACTCTTGAGCTGGGCCTGCACCACAGCCACCTTGTGCCGCAGCTCCTCGTTCATGGCCATGAAGCGCTGGAGCTGTTCCTGCAGCTGGAGGGCCCAGGGCAGCCAGAGGTGAGGCAGTGTCCCCACGAAGGGACAGCAGTGCCACCTGCCCAGCAGGCTCAGCAGCTGTGACAGCCCCGGGGAGGGGGATGTGACATGAAAGCAGCTGCCCGGGCCCTGGCACACCCCTGAGCTCCCGCCCTCACCGCCTCCGTGTCCCGGCTCTTGCAGACGATCTCGTGGGCCTGGGCACGGAGCTCATCCCTCTGTCTGTCCACCACCTCCTTGAGCCGCAGCATCACCTCCCGCTCCTTCCGTGCCGTGCTGTCTGAGAGCACACACAGGACAGGAGTCAGAGTCCCCCAGGACTTCCCCAATGCTATCAAGTTCCTCAGTGCTTCTGCAAAGTCTGACTTGTTCCTCGTAATCTCACAGTGGAAAGAAGGGAACTGAGAGTTTTAGACCGTTTCTGGAACATCCTTGTGTTGCCACAGCAGCCCAAACCCTGTGCCTGCCTCCATCACCCTTCTGGGGGCTTTCGAGGTGCTCTGGAGGTTTGGGATCCCTGACTTGCAGAACAAGGTAATGCCTGTGCTCCCTGCTAGGACAGGTCTCCAAGGTGAGGGAAAGGAGAGCAGCATTCCAGGCTCCAGAAGAACAGGTTCAGCCCTGCACCCAGCCTGCCGCTCCACAGGGACACCGTGTGGCATGGGGGGACCCCAACCCCACGGGGGCACCCACCTTCCTGGGACTGGCTCTCGGCAAGCTGCCCCAGGAGCTGCCGGTTCTGCTCCTCCAGGCAGGCCAGGCGCCCGTGCAGGGCTCGCTCCCGGCGCTCGGCCTCCCACAGCCTCTGCTCCGGCTCCTGGGGGACGGGGACACCGGGTCAGAGCCACCCCTGGGGCAGTGACAGCCAGGACAGACAGCGCTGAGCAGCGGACGGTGACAGCCAGGTCAGAGGCTGCCCCGGAGATAAGAGACAGTGGGGACAGTGCCACCATCCCGGAAAGGGGAACAGCTGGGTCAGACCCATACCAGAGGACAGGGATAGCGAGATCAGAGTCGTCCCAGGGAATGGGGACAGCCATCCCTTGGGAGAACGGGACAGGCACATCACAGCCGTCCCAGGGGATGCAGGGAAGCGGGGCCAGAGCCATCCCCGGGAAAAGGGAACACCAGGGCCAGAGCCGTCCCCACAGGGAACGGGATCAGCGGGGTCGGAGCCGTCCCACAAAACGCGGGACACCCGTGCCCCAGGAAAAGCCACCAGCCGGCTCGGCGCCGTCCCCACGGCCACTCCAGCGGGGACACGCGTGGCTCGGTGCCACCAGCTCCCAGCTCCCCGCTCACCTCCGCCTCCTGCGGCCCGGCCGGCGCTGCCGCCGGCGCCTCCCCCTCAGCGGCCGGCGGGGCCACCAGCGCCTCGAGCAGCTCCAGCAGCCGCACCACGGGCGGCACCAGCCCGGCCACGGCGTCGGGCCCGAAGCGGGCGGAGAGGCGGCGCAGCTCGGCGCCCAGCGCCCCCGCCATGCGGTAGACGTGCGGCGGCGCCAGCCGGGCCGGCGGCGTTCGCCACAGCGGCTCCGCCATCGCCCCGCGCCCGCGCGGCTCCGCCCGGCCCGGCCCGGCCCGCCCCGTCCGGGGCCGCCCCCGAGGCGGGACCTCCGCGCTCCCTCAGCAATGCTCCCGTTCGTACAAAATTTATTGAGAGGAAAAGTGGGGGAAAACAACAACGCGCGGGGTGACGGGGGCGAGCGGGGCACAGTGGAGGGGAAGGGAGGGAAACACGAACACGCTGTTGAATATCAACAGTACTAAAGGGGCGCGGGCAGGATCAGGCGTAGAGATCCTCGCGGTCGGCAGAGTAAACCTCCCCCTCCTGCAGCAGCGCGAAGTTGAGGAAGTGAGAGGGGCGATGGACCTCGTGGTAAAACTCCTTGGGGTTGGCGAGCTGCAGCTCGTACTTCATGTTGGGGTCGTGGCGGACACCTGGAGAAGAGGGAGTGTCACCCACCTGAGCACCCCTTCTGCCTCCTCCACCCTTCAGGAGCCTAACACAGCCCTTCACCCTTCTACGACCATTTCCCTGCCAGGAGAAAGTTCTAAACCCACAAAATCCCTCTTTGGGTTCCTCCCCTCAAGAGATTTATAATCCTTTTGTGCTAGTGTTCTGAGCTTTTGTGCTCGAGTGTTCTGTCACTCTCATTTCCTGACCCTTTCTCCAGCTGCTCATGGTGTTC